GGGTTGGACTCCAGGGAGCAGCGATTTCCAAAAAACACCACCGGACTACGGTAGAGGAGGTGAAGAAGAATCCCACTATGGGTCGAGTGGGAGGATATCTTGCCCGCCTCGACAGGTGAGCAACGTTTCTGCTCGGGCACTGACACTGCGGAGCCAGTAGTCTGTTTTATCAGACGGCCTCACCATTGGTATAGTAAAATGGTAGCAGGAGAACATGCCGTTACATAACGGAGATGGCTCCAGCGCGCAGATTTAGCGTATCGAATTCCTCCATGTCTCCCACCTCCCTGACCACCAGTCATCCCCTATGGGAGGGTGGGATTTGGTCCCACCCGGTTGCTACCCTGGCAACTTTTTGATTGATGATGATGATGCTGTGCCAAACTACTGCTCCATAGGTGATCAGTAGTAGGTGAGAGTGGTTGGAATGGACCTCTGAACTATCAGTGAAATTCCTTCCGACTGCTTTAGCTAGAAATCAAAACGAACGGGAGACATTGGGACAATCTTATTTTAGCATTGTATGATTTTTTATGCATCTATTGTTTGGCTGCGACTATTCCTGATTTCAACATTTCTGCTCTAGTCACGTGGTGAGGGTTTTTGCGCCAGCGATGGTAGGCTCTAGAACAGTTCTTGTTGAATCAGGGTTTCGAAGGTGATAATCATTTCGGAAAATGAGGTTCCTGGTACCTATGTATGTGTCCATTCCAAGCGTGATGATCTCGGATATTTCCGCAGCACACTGTTGTGGATCCTCAGAATCAATGCATGTTCCATGGCAAGGCAACTCGCCGTCCCAGTCTCCTAAGTTTTACTGCCATACGAGACGGTGCTGTGACTTTCTATGGTTCTTCCTCAAAATGTAGGTAACATTTACGTATATGATTGGGTAACCATATTTTTCCAGAATTATACACGTTTTTTGAGGTAGGGTAGGTTCCTATTCAGTTCATCAATCAATCAATCAATCAATCAATTCAATACAAGGGTATCTAAATTTGATTCAATTCTATACTATTCTCGCTTCCAAGGTGTGCCCATGTGTAATTCGAAGAAAAAGAACCATTTCATACTTAGGAAGAAAATATATAGAGGTTTTTAAAAGAAAAATATTCTGACAAATCGGAACAATTTATTATATGAAAATACATGGTAAGTTGATGTAACTATATTATTTTCGAAAACAAGTTTGATACAGAGCAAGCCCAAATTTGTATGCACCTCAAGGTTTTTCAAAATTCAACTAAATGTATTGTCATAATAACATCACACAACTAGGTATCTATCATTGATTTTTTCCACAACTAGCTCTACAACACATGTATGCTATCTTAGACCTGAGGAATCGTGCTTCGACACTATCTGTCAATGATAATAGTATATTATAAACCCAGTTCTGGTTTTTGGCATAGATGTATTATTACACTAGCACGAGGTATAACTTAGCCAGAGGCGAGTGTCGTAAACCGTTCATACACCTATAATAAAGAATCAAGAAAATAATGAAAGGCAGTACCCTCGTATCTGTAGCGGTACCCAAATTTCAAAATGTCAACTCTGCTGACTGATGGGTAGTTATCATACTATATTGTTATTGACATCGAAAAGCTCTGCCTTGGAAGCCTTGCTATGGCGTTCAAGAAAGAATGCCAAATTTTACTTCTAATCAAACTAGTAGTACCTCACCCATATACTCCACTACAAATGAAGGATCAAATGTTCCAAATGTGCCCTTTTCTTCCCTGCATAGTATCATACATTCAATCGCACTAGTTGATGATAAAACAATTGACATCATATATCCTCTCTGAGATGCTCTGAATTTGAATCTCATGTGACATATATACTCGATCGTGACTCATCAACTTCCAATGATACCATTATCTATCTACAAGAAAGTGTAGATTTCAGGTCAAGAATCATTATATTAGAATAGAAACACATGTGCTATAGTAGTGGAAAAACTAAAATAGAAGTACTCAAAGCACGCTACAAAAAACTCTTCATGCCTCGCTTCTTTACTTCCCTTAATACTGAAGAATTTCGGGAACTAATACAGCTCTGCTTTGAGAAAGATCTCATGTAACACTTCCACTTGGTAGTTCATTTTAATCACTATTCGGATTCACTATACAACTAAAGAGAATATAGGTATATTAGTTTTATTATTCCAAGTAAACAAAAGGTGCATCTAGCTCTGGTACATCAAACTTATTTTCATTCATACAAAATTCCATTCGAAACTAAAAGCGAATAAGACCTAACTACCTACCTAGCCAATTCACAATTTGATAAAAATATATTTCAAATACGAATATACAGCAGCTCGCTTCAAATTACTTGCCATCCTCTGTAATTTGAATTGGTTTAAGTGATTATCAATATAATCAGTTTTTCTGTAGCGCGAATATTTAGACCATTCGGTGATTCATTAGTGAATGAAAATTTAGTTGAATAATTCGGAAAATTATAGTGGACAGGTATTTTTCAAAAACATAAAACTAGGTGAACTAAATATTTGAGCCGACCGCAGTTTCCTCAGGCAGTTTCCATGTTTCCGAGTATGCGAAGTCTCTTCCATTTGGAATCACCAGAATAGGCTTCGTTTTTTTTTATTTATCATCCTTTAAAAAATCATCGATTACAAAATTTGGAATATATATTCGATTGTCCAGGTAGTTATAAATCATGATTAGAAAAAAAATACACAATCCTTTCACTCGCTAAACTCGCCGTTACCGAAACCGGTCTTCAGACAACTCTCAATTTAATTGAGGCGATATTTCGCATAAAGAGGTTCAAATTCATGACAAATAATATTCTGGGCATTTTTCCTATGAATAAAGGACATAGACTTTTCAAAAAATCGTCTTTATTGCAATTCATTAATGCACAGCACTGTCCAAAATAATGTTCGTTACAGGAAAAGTGGCCATATTGAGATTCATTGATAATAACCTAAATTCAGTTTTGATGGCAAGAGTGGGATTAAGAGGGAGAGTCATTTGAAATAAAAACGCCGTATGAAAAATGTACAAGACTGGAGAAACATATAACAATAGTTATTTGTTTTACTAGGCAAGAAAGTAATAATTTAGCTAAGGCAGTCAATATCTACATTTCCTGCCGACATTTAATTTTTTCTCCGAATGCTATAAAACCAATTTTTTGTCATTTTTTCATTGACAACACTATTATCTTGTGTTCACCCAATATCAGTGTCAGGTTTGATAACCGATTTCATTCAAATTACTCGGAACGTTGCATGGCCACAAACTTTTTCTGCCTAGGCAAAGAAAGTACACCTTTCCTGCCTGTTTATAGTGTCATAGGGAAAATACACTTTTTCTGGCGCTTGGAGAAAAACGATATTTTTGATATACAGAGAAAGAGGAACGAAAGAAAAAATAGATATAGCATTCAACATGAAATAAATTTGAAATTCAATATTTTGCAACAAAAGCATTTGAAACAAATTTTCAAGATATTAATAATAATATTAATTGGTTCCTTCAAAACTAGGTAGGTGGTATACGGTCGTGAAAGTGTTAACAATATTCATAGAAATCACATCTTAATAGAGTTTGCAATTTGTATATACACTTTTTACAATGATAATTTTAATGAGTATAACAAGTTTTGGTCGAATCTACAAAAATCTACAGTTATTTAAAAATAATATGGTTAGTTATCATTATTTACATTACAATACAAAATGCATTTTTGACCAGCAAAAATGTACAATCAACAATTATTTGTACAGAAGATATGTTTAACAATTCACTGAATTCAGTAGACATATCTACGGTGTATCCCATTTCAAGTATAACCATCTTCGTATCTCGGAGTATAGGATATACGATTGAAAAACAGTTATCTATGTTAGATGGTCTATGAATTGAGTCTGATTTATCATTGAATGGTCTCCAGTGATCGAACTTACATCACCAAAATAAGGAAAGTATATAAGGGATTATTTCATTTTGAAAACTGGGCCATATTGAAATCATCCGAAGGGGAAGTCTAATTTTCATATAGAACCTGAAAATGTATATTTTTGAGAAGTAAATAACAGCCTCTGCTTCCAAGAAATAACTCGTATGTAACTCTGGAACGATTTCACCATTCAATTTGTCCCAATAATTTGTCGACCTTCCACACAGCTCATTTATGTCCAATTTACGTACACTGTACGTCCATCTTAGATGTTCAGGACAATCATTGGCTGTTCTGAGGATACCACGTTGGACAAACGATAGATGCCCATAATTGGATGTAGGTACAATGGACATACAATAGATACATTATATATAGACGTACACGATTGTACAGGGTGGCCAACTGAGATTTCAGAGTTCGATTCCTCTGTTGTCTTGAGAGATACAAAAAAAATTTTTTCATCAAAATTGAAGTGATAACTGAGCTGCACATTTCAAAATTATTTTGAAATATACAGGATGTTCCATGAGGAAACAATATACGAAAGTTATGTTTGTTTCATAGAAACACCCTATATGTTATTTCATTCTTGGATTCTCTCTGAAGATCTGATTTCAACAACCCATCATACTTGGGGTCTAGCAGTAACATTTACTGAGATATAGGGTGTGAAAAATCGAGATTTTCCAAGTTCAGGACCTTTTTTGTGTCGAAACTATTCACTAATCGTCAAAACGGTTCACATGTCCCTATCTCAACTTCTCATTCACTATCAATTGGTGTTCAATTGAAATTGATACAGAGTGGTCAGAAATTCTAAATTTATAATTTGTTTCAATTAAATATCAATTGATAGTGGATGAGAAGTTCATACAGGGACATGTAAACCATTATGACCAACTATGAATAGTTTCGACAGAAAAAATTCCTGAACTTGAAAAATCTCGATTTTGCACACCCTATATGTCAGTTATTTTTACTGCTTGACCCTATTGGTATGATGAGTCGTCAAAATCAGATCTTCAGGGAGAATTCAAGAATGAAATAAAATATAAGCTGTTCCAATGAAAACAACATAACTTCGATGTGCTGTGACCTTTGTAATTTTGAAATGTGAAGCTCGGTTATCAAGTCAAATTGGATACGAAACTTTTTATTGTATCTCTCAAGACACCAGAGGTATCGAACTCTGGAGTCTTAGTTGGCCACCCTGTATACGGGTACAGGAATTCGAGACATGGACAAAAAATGGAAAATGTAATTAGTTTCCAAAATAAAATTACGCCTGATATATAGTTTTCCTGTGAGGTAATTCTCACAAGAGGCAATGAAATGATGAATCAAACTCGATTCATAGACCATCTAGCATAGATGGGTGGCGGAAATTTGATCGAAAGACAAATGATAGAAAAACATTTGATAGAAGTCTTTTGATCGAAAATCAAAAAATAGAAAGAACTTTTCACCGAAAATACATTTGATCGAATGTTTTATGATAGAAAATACATTTGATTGAAACATAAATGATAGAAAATACAATTGATAGAAAAAATATTTGATAGAAAATACACTTGACAGAAACAGCATTTGATAAAAAATTCAACGGGGCTACGCTCAAGTTAGGTCAGTTCGTTTGTGAAGATATGATCCTTCCTTATATATTTGAGAAGAAGAAGCTAGAAGTTTGTGGTATCAATAAATTCATAAGCTTCGATTTCCATCTAGCTCCTTCTTCACAAACGTACTGACCTAACTTGAGTGTAGCCCCGTTGAATTTCCTATCAAATGCTGTTTTTATCAAGTGTATTCTCTATCGAATATTTTTCCTATCAATTGTATTTTCTATCATTTATGTTTCTATCAAATGTATTTTCGATCGAAAAACATTCGATCAAATGCATTTCTATCAAAAACACTTTCGATCAAAAGACTTCTATCAAATGTTTTTTTATCATTTGTCTTTCGATCAAATTTCCGCCACCCGAAAAATTTTTGAATCGAACATTTTGAATGAAAAATATATCTGAATCGTTCATTCTGATCCAACAGACGATGGTGGTTACACGTGAAGCCAAGACACACACAGTAGGTACTATACTCAAACGGCTAAATAACATCATCAAATTAATTTGTTTTTCCACAGTAAGTTGAGCTTCGAATGGAAAGATAATTAAATTCCTTATGAGGTTGAAATATGATCTGAAAAATAGTTTAGAATGAACTCGAAAAAATATTCAAGTGCGCTTTTGTTGACCAAGTTGTCGATTATTTGGATTGATTGGAGGCATTGAACTAGCTTGCTCGATGGCTTCTAGATGTTTGAACCTTTTATGCTTCTCTGAAACATAAATCATCATTCATGAACTATATACTTCATTCTCATATATACAGAGTGATTCATTGTAAAGGACAAATCACTTAAATACAGATAGTAAACAACAAAAAATTAATATTTAACTCGACATAACTTATACAGGGTGAGTCATGACTAACCACCTACAGCCCAATGGCGGATAGAGGGAGTCGAGTTGAGATGATATACAGTGTGACCCACTTCTAATGGAACCACCCCTGTATCTTACGTAATCGTTGGGTAAGGATCCTGAAATTTGCTGGAGCGAGAGATATACCAAAAATGCACTCTATGACCAAGTGGGGTCATCTTCAGTGATATACACTGCTCGCCAACAGCCATGAAACTACCCCAATTTCCGGAAAATGATATTAGGAGTCCAAATAGGTCGAAAATCACTTCAGATTTGGAATCAGGACGCCCAATTTACTAACTATTCAAATTTTTCCTGGAAAATTTTCAGTTCGGAAAAATGAAATTTTGTCGCATTTTTTATGGAAGCACCCCCGTATCTCACGTAATTGACTTTATCTTTGGACTTTCTCTTCCTCCGGCAAATTTCAGAACCCTACCTCAATAATTACGTGAGATACGGGGGTGATAATAGGTTTCTCAAAATATCATTGTAATGGAAAATTAAGTTGACAGTGAAAACAAAGGCAGAACTTTTTTTTAAATCAATGTCCAATATGACGCTCACCTTCATCAATACAAATGTCAATTCGTTTGTTTCCACTACCAAATGATTTTGTATTACAATGTTATCAAACTTTTACTAGGAATATCTGTTAGCATTATTAAAAAAAACATTTTTCTTCAGAACTATGCGGAATACGGAGTTTTCACAAGGGTGACAAAATTACGATAATTAATCAGTCATCTCACTCTGAGAACCGTTATTACCACCCCTGAGGATGTTCTGAAAAATATGTCAGGGAGTGAGGGTGGTTTCAACCCTTCTACAATTTCTTTTGAGTTTCTTTGATTACCGAAAGAAGGGTGATCCATCAAAATGGATATTTGTCAAATTTCATCCAATTTGTTTCACTCATTCATGGAGAGTGAACAAATATGTGTTTTTCATGTAAACTTTGAACCCGTCTCACGGACAAACGGTACATTCTGTTATATAAATGAATTGGGTCTAGTTAACTTATTTTGACTTATATTACACGTGGTAGCTTTATGTCACAGCAATTTCGGGACACCCTGTGAATATTTTTTGAATGATTTGAGATCTCATTATTTAGAAAAATCAGGATAGAAATTATAGCGGCCCAGTTTATGATGTGACACTGGGAGTTGGGTTATTGGAGGAGCAGCGTTAGGTCACAAGGAAACTGCCAATTGGATGAAACAGGAGATCCCTATCTCCATCATCAGAGTGACGAATACACAAGATGGGTTTAGATGCAATAGGCGGTTCACGCTGTCTATTCCAATGAGAGGACAAGGGCTCTGGAATTCATTGCCTGAGGAAGTATTCCCAACAACATATAATCTCCAGAAGTTCAAAAAAAATCCAATACCTACCTCCTATCCCTATCCTCCCTAGGAACGCACGATGGTCTTTGAACATTATAGGGATTTCCTTTCGTGCGCTCCAAGCGATAAAGAAAAAGAAGAAAAAAAAAAAGTAGGTATTTTAATGGGAGAAAATGAACTTTTATAGATGAATGCTTCCTGAGGGCTGAGGGAGGTCCTTCAAATGGTAGGTATACCCTGGAGACAGTTCTTTCTGAACATTTCCGGAACGAATTATAGAAAAATCATTAAATTAGATACATCTATAATGCTAATGCTGAATCAGAATTAGTGCTCAGAATTTCAAAATCTTATTTAGGAACGTAACGTGGTGGATTGGTGGAAGAAAATTGTTTATGGTATATGTAAAATAAAGGTGATAGCTGAAGGTTTTTTATGTGAAATGGCAAATCGATAGGGCAAGTTCTTTTTGGAAAAATCGCAATTTTCTACATTAATCTCGACATTGACGCATCGGCACCTCAATCGGCACCTTAAAGACGGGTTTTTTACTTTTTACGCCAAAATTCTCAATACAAGTGTATCATACTGAAGGAGTTAGGTTAGAATCCTAGTTTTTGGTGGCTTGTGATAATGGGTATCGATGTGATAAATTGCTATTCTCTAGTGCAAAAATAGTCCTATTATTAGATTAGAAAATGGGGTTGTTTTGACCCGCAATAACTTCAGTATGATACGTCTCTGACGAAAATTCTGAAATTTCGTGCTCAGAATCACATCTGGAAGTGTACCAAATTTCAATATCTCCTCGCGGTTTCGAAAATATTCAGGAAAACCCGTCTCCAGGGTGCCAATGCATTTATGCAGAAAATTGTGATTTTCTGGAAATCTACTAGCCCTACTGGGCATATACCTCTCCACGCAAAACACCTCCAAGTATCATATTGTGTTATCAAAATATGAAGAATTTTCAAATTTCTAAATTTAAATTCTGATTCAACATCAGATGTACCAAATTTCATGATTTTTTGGATGAACGGTTTCGAAAATTGTGCGGAAAAATCGTTTCAGGTTGCCCTATTTTGAGGGGCGGAGCACAGCCTTAGGGAGCATTTTTCGACAAATATTCAAACGAACTTTTTTTATAAAAATACCTCAGGAAACACCTCTCTGAGTTTTACCAATGTTTAGGAAAGACCTGCTATACAGGGTATGTCACGACGAGCTTACACAATCTTTATATCGATAATCAGTCGGAAGAAATCCATGAAAATGTGCATGCTTATGTTTCAGAATACGCTCTCTACATTTTCGACGATGCAGTGTTGCCGCTTCTAATAGAAAGTAGCAACATTTATATTTCAAATTAAACACCCTGTATTTTATCGCATTTACAGATTTTCCCTGAAGAGCTGATTTTATCGATGCATCACACTTGGGGTCTATCGGGAATGATTACAGAGATATAGGGTGTTCAAAATCGAGATTTTTCAACTTCAGGATTTTTTTGTGTGGAAACTATAGCTAACAGAACTATTGCAGGAATAGACGCGGCTGCAGACAATCTGAAAACCTTGTGCCAACCAAAACAAGATAGATAGAAAGAGATAGATTTACTGTATAAGAAGATTTACAATTCTTATTACAAGGGTTGGTTAATTTGTAATGAATGAATACATAAGAACTATTAGCTAAAACGAAATTCCTTCTTGCTTGACCTTGATTCAATTTACCAATGAAGACGATGAAATAATAATTGATATGCAAATTACTCATTCACAACAAATTGACCAGAACCTGTACTAGAAGATTCAAGTCAGCTAGGCCACCATAATTTAGTTCAGTTCACTTCCTCGACGAGTGCTGAGATTATAAATATTTGGGAGTGGGTGAAGTACAATAAAAAAAAATTCGATTTAGAGTGGATGGAAATTCTAACCATCATCAGACCGTCAGGAAGGTTCATAAAATGTAACATGGAAATAGATGTATAGATATGTGGAGATGATTGGTTGGCAAAGAGAGCAGGGGGTTTTCAAGGTCACCAAGAATGAAGAAATCTTCTATCCCCACCAGCTCAGCTATCAGTTTCAAGTCTGATAAATGGGGAGGAGATCCTCTGTGGTGACAGTATTGCTATACTAATAGCAAGAGATATTTCAAATCCTAATTATTTCGAATTTCGATTCAATTTGGAATTATTCGAACTTTACTCGGTATTGCCTTCATCTAGTAATACTTTCTGTGGCATGTGACTTTGTGAGCTCGGCTGAAGTTGTATGAACATACTTACTTGCAATCTTCAGCATTATGACTCCCCACCATATAGACCATCCCCAACCAACCAAACAAAACAGCACTGTGAAAAACTGTCCGACACCTATTATAATATTTATCAAAAATGAGCCTATCCTAGGCCTTGGTCCATCTTTTTGTGAAAATCTTGGTATGCCGACACACAGACAAAACATCCCACTGAAAATTGTTCCTGAAAAAATAAAATCATCTTTTGAAGTCATTTTTGATTCGATATACCTCAAAATAAGAATGTATGTCCCGCGCAACTTAAGTGATAGACTATGACTTAGATTTCTTGTTGATATGATTAGTCCAATAAATGAAGGAGGAAAAAGAGGCAAAGTTAACGTTAATTACGCACTATTTTCGTCTTCCGGTTGGAAGTAGCTTTTGGTACCTCATTAAACATGAGACAAAGTTTGACTGGAAAACGCGTGCGATAGCGGAGAAAATGGCCCCAAAAGACCAGGAAAATAGGTTTTCAGCCAATATCTCCTAAAATATGGCTGTTAGAGATTTTCGATTCAGATAAAAATTGAAGTTCAGTTAAATTTCTACAAAAATGGTCCTTATCATTTTTCTCGAAAATTTGCCCGGTTTCGAGAAAAACGGCACGAAGCGCACCTCGAATAATGAGCTTCTGTTGTATGCCGGAGAGCACAGTCCGTGTATTTACACATCGGCGGGGGGACAAATTATTCAATAACTTTGTTAAAAATGCATATTTTCTCATGATTCAAAGTTCATGTGAAATAGGAATTCTGCTGCTATCATACCCTGCGTGGCCGCATGGTTTGTAGCAGACAACCCGAGCGCCACGTAGAGCACACACGCGGCGAACGACGGAGGAACGAAAGTAATAAATTATAGCGTGTACATTTAGATACACTGGTTTTTTCCTGGGATATCAAAGGTATGACTTATATACATCGATGGAAAGATGGGAATACCCCCGTTACACTAGTTAAGGTGTTAAAATGTTAGAAATAAATAGCACGGAGAAAAAAACCACCGAAAAAAAAGTGCGTTTTTTCCTTGACCCCGCTTTATCTAATTTTATTGAAAAATGGACGACTTCGTCTAACAAAGTAATTGCACAATCGAAAAGTAGACCTTCTTAGCTTTCAGATGATGTATCATAGAAACCAATCGGATCATGTATACATTTTTAATTGATGGTTGTTCACAAAATTTCCCCGCGCTCCAAAAACAGCAAAAAATTGGGATTCAATAAACAAAGATTAAATGAAAATTAAAAAAAATTAGGGTATATAAATTTCAGGGATGACGAAGGACCTTATGAGGACCCATAATCAAGAGAATTTTGAGTAAATTAGTGCAATACAAAAAAAATAGGAACAAATTCCTGGCGAGGTCAAAATTGACCAGGAGCAGAAAGTTTGACCCATGTTCCGATATGGCCAAAAGAGTCAAGCGTGACTCAATTCACAGGGTATGATAGCAGCAGAATTCCTCTTTCACATGAACTTTGTTATAGTAAAGTTAAGTTATAGAATAATTTGTCCCCCCGCCGATGTGTAAATACACGGACTGTGCTCTCCGGCATACAACAGAAGCTCATTATTCGAGGTGCGCTTCGTGCCGTTTTTCTCGAAACCGGGCAAATTTTCGAAAAAAATGATAAGGACCATTTTTGTAGAAAATTAACTAAATTTCAATTTTTATCTGAACCGAAAATCTCTAACTGCCATATTTTAGGAGATATTGGCTGAAAACCTATCTTTCTGGTCTTTTGGGGCCATTTTCTCCGCCATCGCACGCATTTTCCAGTCAAACTTTGTCTCAAGTTTAATGAGGTACCAAAAGCTACTTCCAACCGGAAGATGAAAATAGTGCGTAATTAATGTTAACTTTTTCCCTTTATTTATTGGACTAATTTAGGTTTCATAAAAATTGTCACTTGTCTTCAGAATGCGTGGTATGTTGTACCTATATCTCATTCTTAGTCATTATTATTTGTTTAGTCCACGAACCACCGGCAAATTCCGACCGTCATCTGATAACGAAATGATGAACAGGGTGTATCTAAATAATATGATTCCTTGTGAACGTTTTTTTATTCATTACCCAATTGTCGTTTCATCAATTTCAATAAAACGTCGTGGTTTTGTTAATAATAATGAGGAGCTTCTTCTGGTGCGATTAGATACGAAATAATATTCCCAGTGGCGCCACAGTGGGTAAATCTATCAATATTTATGGTGAATGTCATTGTACCCCACCGGTTTTTCCGAGTTTCATTTTTTTATTGGATTGAACTAATTAAACAACAACTTTTTTGTCCTCTGTGTGATTTTTGTCTCTAGCTTAGTTTTTGCGGAAAAAATAAGAAATCGATTTGACTCCAAAGGACCCCGCACTTTTAGTACGTAAAATGGTTCTCGGTGAAATTTTCTGAATTTTCAGTATGTTGTAGAATTCGATGAACTGATTGAACCTGCAGAATCGTAATGTTCTTTGATGAACAGATTCTGAGATACAGGGCGTTGAAGTTACAAATCGGTATTTTTCATTTAATTATTTTCTCGAAATTCAAAGATGCCAAGTACAATTTTCTTCGCTCATATCAATAACGAACCTCCATATTACTCAACATAATTCAGATGGTTCAGATGATGTAATTGTTTACAGAGTGAAACATATAAACATTTCAGTGATGTCTGAAAATTCGATGTAATAATGTAATATCGAAAAAATGATTTAGGCATGCAATATACTATTCTCATTCCATCATGAATCACAATTCATACGTTTCATACAGGGTGATTTGAAAAATTGGTGACACCTAAGACCGATTTATTCATACACATCCTGTACATTCGAGTGAATTGTTAACCTCCCAAGATAGCTGATACCGTATGAACATGATTTTCTTGAGATATATAGGGTGATCATGAAGATTTTCGATGATGAAAATGACAAAAAATCGTGTTTTTTGAAATCACCCTGTTATTCATGATTAACTCGGTGAAATTCCCTGATTATTTTTTAATATATTCATCAGTCGCTCCTCAACGCTGTCTTGAAAATGCAGTTTCCTATCATGACGGGTGTCATATATAGTTATTAATTCAGGAACTTACCATTTGCATGAAGAGTTTAAGAGACTTGTTCACTTACATTCGCATAGTGGCCGATATTTTTCACAAATCCGTCGTTATTTATTCTCGAAACAGTGTGTCTAGTACATAAAAACAAATCATCATACGAGGTAACAGTTGGTATCACTAGACAAAGTAACAATTTACGATTACCTATTCCGTCTTCAAATTTAACGAAAAACTCTCTGATCTATAGTGCGATTAAACTATATAATCACCTCCCTCCCGCCTTCAAAAACATAGTTTTGCCGTCTCATTTCAGGAGATCTGTCAAGCGCTTACTTATCGATGAGGTTTTTTATAATGTTCAAGAGTTTCTTGAGAAAGATTGGAATAGTTAAAATGTATGTCTATTTTAACATTTTGGAATTGTATTCTAATGCTCAATTCATTTTGTATCTGTCTGTTCTCTTTTATTTTTTTCTTGTGTTTACGTAAATATGTATTTATTATAATTGTGACAATGCTATAGTACCTGCTCTATACTATTTATTTATATAAACTTATTTAATTATTTATTTTATATTCATCATGACTTTATCAATGAGATGAAAATCTTCCGATAATAAAGTATATTTTGATTTGATTTGATTTGAAATAGTGAAACGTGAGAATCTGGAGACGAAAATAAGTTTGGTATTCATATACAGGGTGAACATTAGAAATTCAATACAATAGCAGATATATGAATGCAATAATATTAATATAATGTACAGATAGTTAGGCGAATTTCGTTGGTATACAAGCTCTGCCAAAATGAAAAACGAACAATACCTAGGAGATGGGAGAATTATTCGGTCTTTGACGCTTCCATTTCTAATAGGGAGAGTTGAATCCTGGAATCGAAATTCTGTACTACTACTATCTGTACATTATATTAATATTATCTGTGCATTATATTAATATTATCTGTACATTATATTAATATTATCTGTACATTATATTAATATTATTAAATTCATATATCTGCTATTGTTATTGAATTTCTAATGTTCACCCTGTATATGAATTCTAAACCTATTTTTGTCTCCAGATTCTCACGTTTCACTATTTGTGAAAAATATCGGCCACTATGCGAATGTAAGTGAACAAGTCTCTTCAACTCTTCATGCAAATGGTAAGTTCCTGAATTAATAACTATGACACCCGTCATGATAGGAAACTGAATTTTCAAGACAGCGTTGAGGAGCGAATGATGGATATATTAAAAAATAATTAGTAAATTTCACCGAGTTAATCATGAATAACAGGGTGATTTCAAAAAACACGATATTTTGTCATTTTCATCATCGAAAATCGTCATGACCACCCTATATATCTCAACGAAATCATGTTCATACGGTATCAGCTATCTTGGGATGTTAACAATTCACTCGAATATACAGGATGTGTATGAATAAATCGGTCTTAGGTGTCACCAATTTTTCAAATCACCCTGTATGAAATGTATGAATTGTGATCCATGATGGAATGAGAATAGTATATTGCATGTCTGAATTATTTTTTCGATATTTCATTATTACATCGAATTTTCAGACATCACTGAAATGTTTTATATGTTTCACTCTGTAAACAATTACATCATCTGAACCATCTGAATTATGTTGAGTAATATGGAGGTTCGTTATTGATATGAGCGAAGAAAATTGTACTTGGCATCTTTGAATTTCGAGAAAATAATTAAATGAAAAATACCGATTTGTAACTTCAACGCCCTGTATCTCAGAATCTGTTAATCAAAGAACTTTACGATTCTGCAGGTTCAATCAGTTCATCGAATTCTACAACATACTGACAATTCAGAAAATTTCACCGAGAACCATTTTACGTACTAAAAGTGCGGGGTCCTTTAATGTAGGTGTTTTCAAGACTTCCATTGAGATTACTCGATAACCCCAATTACAATCATTTTGAAATTTTGGATCTTTCTCAGTCTCCATCCATACTGAATTTTGGCACCATGGAGGGGGGGAGGGGGGGTTAGAAATACAAAACAATTAATACTTCCAACTTCAACATCCTGTATCTCAAAAACGGAGCAAGTTCAGACAAGTTATATGAACTAGAA